GTCAAGATCATCAGAACCTTCATGTTTTTGTCTGGGGTTTTAAATAACGACCTTTTTTGAGTTGTCTTCCTAGGAAGTAATAGACTTATACTATGCCATCTAATTCTCTTATGTCTTTATGACCTCATTTGGGTAGGGTGTAATTATGGGCCTATTCTAAGGAAATGATCCAAGTGGTGTGACTTGCTTACTTGGAACTGAATCTCTGACCTGCCTTTTATAGGGCCTATATCAAATATTGCTTTCAGCCCAGCATACTGATATTGATCAGTAAAAGAAAAACAGACAAAATTTGAGTTATGGGAAAATACCACGTCAATAGTGTTAAAAGGCTATGAAAATCAGTAAGGCAATGAGATATCATTTTACACTAGTCAGAATGGCCATTATTAAATAATCAAAATCAATAGATGTTGGCAAAGATGTGGAGAAAGGGGAACACTTATACACTGTTGGTGGGAATGTAAATTTGTATGACCTCTGTGGAGAGCAATATGAAGGTTTCTCAAAGAACTAAAAATAGAACTACCATTCAACCCAGCAATCCCACTACTGGGTAGCTACCCAAAAGAAGATAAATTATTATATCAAAAAGACACCTGAACTTGTTATTTATCACAGCGCTATTAACAATAGCAAAATCATGGATTCAGTCTAAGTGTCCATCAACAGATGGATGGATAAAGAAAATGTGATATTGGCCGGGTACGGTGGCTCACGCCTGTAATCCCAGCACTTTGGGAGGCCGAGGTGGGCAGATCACAAGGTCAGGAAGTTGAGACCATTCTGACCAACATGATGAAACCCCGTCTCTACTAAAAATACAAAAATCAGCTGGGCATGGTGGTGCGTGCCTGTAATCCCAGCTACTTAGGAGGCTGAGGCAGGAGAATCACCTTAACCAGCGAGTCGGAGATTGCAGTGAGCTGAGATCACGCCACTGTACTCTAGCCTGGCAACAGAGCGAGACTCCATCTCAAAAAAAAAAAAAAAAAAAAAGTAGTATATATACTTCATGGAATACTTATCAGCCATAAAAAGAATGAAATTATGTCCTTTGCAGCAACATGGATAGAGCTGGAGGCCATTATCTTCAGTGAAATAACTCAGGAACAGATAATCTATTACTGCATTTTCACTTATAAGAAGGAACTAAACAAGGGGTACACATGGACACGAAGATGGGAAAAATGGACACTGAAGACTCTAGAAGAGGGGCAGATGAAGGAGCGAGGTGGTAAGGGTTGAAAAATTACCTATTAGGTACAGTGTTCACTATTTAGGTGCTGGGCACACTAAAAGCACAGACTTCACCGCTATGTATTATATGCATGTAATGAAACTGCATTTGCATCCCTTGAATCTATAAAAATGAAAATAACATGAAAATAAAGAAAAGAAAATTAGTGAAGGAGTGTAACCACTTTGGAAGGTGGTGAAAACAGATAATGTAAGTACTAAAAATAGACTTTAAGATTTAGCAGCAGCAGTTGAGCTAAGAAACAGTTTGATATCTCCTCAATCATGTCCCAGAGGGGTCCATATTTTCCTTTTTTATGAAACCTGAGCTGCCTCGTGAGGTAGATGCAATGAGGACACATATTGCAAAATCTCAATAAAGATTCTAAAACACATGAGTATTTTCATGGAATGGAAATTAAGAATTAAAAAAAGAAAAAAAATGGAAGTGAAACCAGGATTTCCCAAAGCGAAGGTTTCTGGGATTAAGAGATGAGATGAGATAAGTGAAGCTGAGCGTGCCATGCACTTCTTTAGGGGTAATGTGAGTTTGGGGAAGGAAAAATGCAGTAAAATGAGAAAAGATTAGGCCTTGATAGTGCATAGCAAATTATCGTAGCATGCCTCCTCACCATATGCTCGTTCCATGATAAATTCATGTTCCAAGATGAAATGAGAAATTAAGATGCATGGGTTTAGAGATTCTGAAAAGGATAATAATAAGGAACCTGGATGATAAAAAAAAAATCCCAAACAAAAAACCACACCCAACAGATAGTCTTTTTCAAAGTTCAATTATTACACACATTTCTCTGCCTTATTAATTTGGGATGTTATTCTGCAAATGTATCAAATCTTTACAATTTACAGTCTCTATACTTGGTTTTCTTGCTTATGTAAGATTTACTCAGACAAAATCTGTTTTGCTGATGGGCTATGAACCCCTCAATTATTTGTTGTTGTTTTCTTTTGGTTTACGAGAATACAGGAGTCATGAGGTAATGTTGCTATGGCAATGAATATGTACAAATAGATGATTAAGGTGGCGGGGGGGATGTTAAATCTTGAAAAACACATTTGCATGTAAATTCTTTCCAGTGAAATAAAAGAATCTTGCATGTAAATCTTTTTCTGTTATGGGCAAAAATATGAAAGAAAGATGTGTTATATCACATCTTGAATAATGCATTTCTATTGTTTATATTAAATAACGTGAACAGCTAAATATGGTCTAAAGAGTATTTTTTATCAATGGTTCATTTTAAAAGACATTGGATTAAGACTGGATTAATTTCCATGGGTGTGTGCATGTGAATGTGTAAATAGTATTTGTGTAAATAAAGTATAATTGGGAGACATTATAAGGATTAAGATCTTTTCTTGGTTGCCTTGAATGTGGCATTAAGAACTCAAGCATATAAGGAATATTTATAATTTCCTGAGTATATTTTGCTAGCTATTAGGATTCAATATATTGAGAGTAGTTAACACCTTACTGCAAAGCTTTCATAGTACCAACATTGGAACATGCACAGGAGGCTGAGGAAAATGGTATTTAAAGATCTAGTTTAAAATATTCCTACAAATAAGGTACTTCGATTTTTGATGCACTAACCTTTCTTGATGTGTTATAGAACTTTGGACCAAGAATTCAAAAGGTCCTGATTCCTATATTGGCTGGCCATGTACTGACTGATAAGGTACCTAACTACTTTTTTGTTTTTATACTGTTCTTAAGAGAAGGTAAGGATCCTTGTCACCTGATGAGTACTGTCCGATACAGATATAATATAAGCCACATGTGTAATTTAAAATTTTCTAGTAGTCATACTAAAGAGTAAAAAGAAATAGGCAATATTGATTTAATAATATATTTTATTCAATGCAGTATGTCCAAAATACTATCACTGCAACATTTAAGCAACATACAAATTATTAGTAATGTGTTTTATACATTCTTATTTTTGTACTAAATCTTTGGATTAGCATGTATTTTTTATTTACAGCATATGTCGATTCAGTCTAGACACATTTCAAAGGCTCAATATCTACATGTAGCTAGCGGCTACCATATTGATAATGCACCATTAGACTAAGAGGAAAGCATTGAGTTTGTTCAGAATATTGAAATTATTCAATATTTGACTTCTTGGATAATAAGCTTGCTTTTTTTTTTTTTTTTTTTTTAAGCAGATGAGAGCTTTACAACTTGCAGAGAATGTTGCTTACTAAATTTGAGACAAAGTAGGTATGTGGGGAGTAAATACCTACCATTATTGTAATGTGTATGGTTGAACAATGCTCTCTCATATACTACCCTTTTTGATCCTGGTCAAAGTTCTGGGAAATAGGGTGGAATGAAGTTCCATTTACTTTTGAGAAAGCAGACCCAGAAAGTTCACTACATTCTTCTCTAGGCTCCTGGCATCATGATCCAATGGCAGATCACAATTTAAGGTGTAGTTATCAAATAATGAGCAAGCCAAACTAGACAAAATATAATGCGTCCTAGCATTTTCTTGCCTTTTTACAAAAGCATCTGTTTTGTGGGTGTCTGAAAGGGCTTAGATTTGTCCCACATCTCCAGTTTTTTGTTTGTTTGGATCCAGCATAAAATGTGAACAAAGTTTTTTGTGCTTAGGAATATTTTGACTTATCCAAGGTGATGATAGAAGGGATCCTCAGGATGCCACCCACGTCTCAAAGTTCAACAACCATCTCACCTCCAATACTGTGATCCTTTGATAAGTCAAATATATACATCATTTCACCATAGATATTTCATAGAACTTAGAACACCTAGCATATCATTTAGTGCTGAGCTAGGTGAAGAAGCAAGCAATGTTTTATTCTAAAGCGATTAATTTTTATGACGCTATCATTTTTCAAGGAACCCCCTAACAGTAGTAACACCAGTATTGTATGCTTGCTTTTTCGTGTTGTTCAGGTGGAAATAATCCCATTCACTTTAACGTTCAAGCTCTATAGGTGAATTGAATTTAGGTTAATTTCTATTAATTGGTAGTGTTGCTGTTGTCCTCTTATTTTCAGGCACAATCCACATGGGAAGCACATCCATTTGATAGTCTCTAGGAATTAAATAATACTCAAACAAGTTTCTAATATATTACTTTAAACAATTCTTCCTCTTCCCTTAATCCGTGTGTGTGTTTGTGTGTGTGTGTTCCCTTAGTTCTTCAATTGCTGAAATGGTAGCTACCGAAATATCTTCCACAGGTGAGGTCTTTTACCACCAGACTTGGGTCAAACATTGTAGATGGTCACATCACCTGGCACAGGTGGTCCAGCTTTGGTTGCCATTCATAGAGGGGAGGGTTCCCAAATGGCATTCGAGAAGAGATGAAGTTTGTTAAACCAAAGCTTATATATAGATCCAGAAGGCAGTCAGACAACTGGTCATTCCCAGGGATGAACAGAGAGGGCGCCCTTCCCCAGAGGCGAGAACAGCCAGGACGCAGTCGTGGGGCAGGCCAGTAGGAAGTCCGCGGGGCTCTCACAGAGCAGCCTGGTTGGACTTAAGGGCACTGGCCGACGAACGCCAGGAAACCTAGGAGGTGGGCTCTTCGCGGGAGGCTACAGAGCAGATCACCCGGGCGCTGTCGCCGCGTAGTTGAAGTTTCCCTAAAGTCTCGGTGGGGCTTTCCCTCCCGTGCAGAGCCCACTTCCTGAGTATCTAGTCCCGGAGGCTCCGCGCCGTTTCCCACCCCCCCCCCCGCCTCTTTCTTCGCCCCAGCTCTGGGCGGTCTCACTGCCGGGCACAGAGCAGCCTTTGCCCGCCTGCCCCACAGCACCAGGCCCGGGCGGCTGCGAGAGGGCGCAGGGGGCGGAGGCGCGGCAGGGGCGGGCTCTACCCCCCACCCGCTACACACACCTTCTCCCCGTCCGGCTGCGGGGCCAGTGGCAGGAGCGCCGCTCACCGCCAGCCGCGGGGGGCGTGGGATGGGGGCGGCGGGGGAGGGGGGCGCCCGCACTGACTAGAGCCAACCGCGCACTTTCAAGGGGTGTCGGTGCTGCGCTCCCCTCCCGCGGCCCGGGAACTTCAAAGCGGCCCCTGCTGCCCCGGCTGCCTCGCTCGGCTCTGGGGCCTCGCACTCCCGGCTCGGCCGCCTGGTGGCGATGACCTGGGCGCTCCACTCCGCGCTCCGCCAGGCTCTCCTGCTGCTCGCCGCGGCCGCCGAGCTCTCGGCAGGTACGGTGCGGGCTTTTTCCCCAGGCGCCCGCGAGGGTGGGAGCTGGGGGCGGTCTGCGGCTGGGCATGGCGGGGGGGGGGGACAGCGGGGGCTCCAAGCAAACTGACCTTCGGGGCGGAAGGGGAAGCGCCAGTTGGATTGAGGGGGCGCAGGACGGGGTGCAACGTGGGCACCTGACGTCTGGCAGCTGTAGGGGTAGACAGGAGTGCTGGGGAGGAAGCCACCCGGAAGAGAGAAAAAAAGGCAGGGGCGTGGGGGAATAAGTAGTAGGGGTAAGGTGGGTGACTAATTTGTGGGCAGTTTGCAGCGGAGAAAATAGTAGAGCGTTTGTGGGTGCGCGCATGGCAGGGAGCCGGGTTCACCCTGCAGGGACCGGGAGGGCTGCAGGTGTGCCTCGGACGCTCTCCGTGCTAAGTCATTGATAGCTGCTCAAGGATGGTGGCGTGGTGGTGGTGGAAGGTGGTGATTTAGTCTGAGTTTCACCCAAAAGCCGCAGATACCAAGCTATGGAGGCGAGAGTGGGAGCTTAAATCTGTGAGGTTTGCAACGCACATTGCTTTCGAGGTACGATCTTTACTCAGAGTTCCTGGGGAAAAAAATTCTGGCAAGCGCCCCAGAGTTTATAACAGGTCTGTGCCTTGATAGGCTAAATAGAGCCCTCTACCCATTCTAGAAGCCAGACGTTTCTTTATAATGTTTACTAGAAAGTGGGGCAAATGCATCTTTGGTAAAATCATGTGCTGTGACTAAAAGCCCTTTAACTCTAAAACTATTTTCATTACATTGCCCTGGATTATGTAGAGGAGGAGCAGATTATTTGCTAACTCATTCTTTAAAAATTTCTATCAGATATTGAGGATATTTGCACATAAAAATCTGGTGTTTTCCCGTAGAGCTGTATTTCATCTGAAGCTGATTTTGATGCATTTTTGTTTTCCCAGATGACAGTGTTTGACATTAATAGCTATATCCATGGTGGGTCGTTTTCCTCTTAGTGACATGTGCAAGAGAATGATTTGAATGATATGATTGCTGTCATGTACAGATTTCAGTGTTTCATATGGCCTGAGAGAATCACTAAATACAATATTCAAATACAAATTTGATTATTGAAAAGGATTAATTGATAAAACCTGAGGATTAAAGCATTCCAGTTATCTCTTAGGAAAACAGCCCAAGGCTGTCAGAAAGATGATGGAATTAAGTGAAATATTTGCATATAGAGTTAATACATTTATAAATGGGAGAAAACTATAGGAAAGTCTTTTACAAATGCGTGAAAACTCTGCTAACTTAGGATATTGAAAGTGCTCTTGACAATTTAACAGAATTTACAAAAAAAAGTCTTCAAGATATCACAGTTTTGATGGGGTGAAACTGCCTCTGCAAGCTGCCTGTACAACTCTTTATTTGGAGGAGCTGATAACTTGGCTGCACACATTTTAAAAAAGATTCAATTATTTTTTAATGTAGCTTCAAGCGTATATTTTGTTATATACCCAGAATCTTTAAAAAATTTCAGAGACCTTGAGCATAGCAACATGCCTCATATTCTTGAAAACTTGAAGGCATGGAAACTTTTGACATTGAAACATGCAAAAAAGAAAAAAGTAGATCATCCATTCAAAGTTGCTCACTTAAAATTTGAAGTCTAAGAAAAATGCATGGGCCGGGCACGGTGGCTCAAGCCTGTAATCCCAGCACTTTGGGAGGCCGAGGCGTGTGGATCACAAGGTCAAGAGATCGAGACCATCCTGGTCAACATGGTGAAACCCCGTCTCACTAAAAATACAAAAAATTAGCTGGGCATGGTGGTGCATGCCTGTAATCCCAGCTACT